TCCAAAGACAGAGCAAACCCACTGTGGGGCAGAAATACAGGTAGCAAAACAGTCTGTCAGCCTACAAAGCTGCACTGTGACCCAAAGCATTCAGAGAAACAGCCAGGTCTTTGTCTGCTTCTGCAAGTAAAAGCTTCTAGCATTTGGGGATGGTTTTTTTAGGCTAATTAACAACCCAGGCCCTGGCCTTTAACATGTGCTTGAGCTTAGAGGAGCCACTAGGAAGGGCAAGGAAAGTTAAAGGAAGAATACAGTCATTTGGGAAGTCTCCCTCCATGTTTTTCTATCCCTCCTTCCCCTCCAGTCTTTAGCTCTTTCACTGCCTCCAGTTAGACCAAAAGGAAACTGTCCTTGCTAAGTAATGAGCTATTAATGCCAAACTCCCTCAGACACCCAAACATGTTGCCCCAACCCTCCCTGCTAGTGTCAAGGGCTGAATAAAGCCAGCTTCAGAGTTTGTGGGATCCGAGGCAAAAGCTACTCCATGAAGCTGAGGGGAAGTCAAGTGACAAAATGAAATGCCACCCTACACTGAAAAGGGACTGGCAACAAAACTGGCTTCCCATATGAGGATTTGTGTGAGCATTTGCATGTATATCAGGAATGGAGTTGTTGTCTGGTGAGGCTGGTCTGGGATGCAGACCTTGAGAACCACCTCCCCATGCTATTGCTAACAGAACACCTCTCTCCCTCTCCTCTGCCCAGTGAGGCTGGAAACAGCCCAAAAGCTTCCTACTGCAAAGTCTGAGACTAAGTAATCATGGAGGACTTAGCATGACACAGCTGGAAGGATCTGACAGGGAAATTTTTCTTTCCGCTGCTGGAGACAGGGATTTGTATCACTGTCCAGTACTGAGCAGCCCACAGGACTTGACACTTATGTAAGCAATTGCTTTGGGCTGATTCACTAACAGATCTCCAGGAACTTTGCTTCTCTTACTTGTGAGCTCTCAGCAGTTCCACAGGCCTCCATCTGATCATCCCTTTTATTCACCATCACTGTATGACATCTAGAGGAATTCAAGGGGGCACCATCAGCTCTGCTGCCCTCAGAGTGCCAGGAAAGCCTGTGTCTCTCTCCCGCTTCCAGGGCTAAAAGAGCTGTCTCCCAGCTATCCCAGTGCTGAGAAAATCAGGAATTGGCTCAAGCAAACCTCAGGGGAGATTGTGGTGACATCAGTAGGGAGGGATAATGATTTTGAAGCAGTGTCAGAAGCTAGGACTCCAGCCTTCACAGAGGGCATGTTCCCCCTAGGATCCAGACAGCATGCTGGGGTTGTACGGGCCCCCTAGACACACCTGGCTATTCTGACTACTTGGCATCTGGAACCACAGCATCTCAGAGCTAACAGGGACCTCACAGGACATCTCGTCCTACCCTCTGCACAAACTCAGGACATACCGTTCCTTACCCATCCCAGACAGACAGATCCAGCCTCTTCTTGAAATGAAGGTGATGGCACAACCTCCCTGGGCAGTTTGTCCCACTGTCCTACTGTTCTTCTAGTTAGAAAGTTTTGTTCTAAAAGTTAATGTAAACCTGCTTCATTGCCATTTAAACCCCATAACTGCACTTCATCACAGGGGCCATCCAAGATGCCCAGTTAAGCCCAATTCTTCCCTCTGCTTGGCTCCCATCCCTCTCACCATGCACCTGTTAACGCTAAATTACTCGCTGTTGATGCAGGCTCAATGACAAGGGCTCGGATGGACCCAAGCTTCAAGAGAACTGCATTTAAAAGAGTGGGGATATGCTTGGGATGGGGGGGGAGGGAGGGGGGGAGGGAAGCAGTGTTCTTGCATTACAGCTCCTTCCCTCCTGAGGTCCTGAGCCAAAAGGACTGTCGAGATTAGAAACGTTATCTGCATTCAAATCCCACTAGCATTACAGAATCAGAATATACTGTAAGCGGATACATAAATGCCAAATACTGTATTTGAGTAGGGGGCAGCCAGCCAAGCTACTCTGTTTCTGGCATTCTCTGTGCTCTGATATTTTGATGGCAACTCGAGTGCAGTGACAAGAACAAGGTCATACCTAGGTACCACATCAAGCTCCCCTGACCAGCTGGGGGCTGAGCAAAGATAGTCATGCTTGTTAGCTCCTGAGTGGCTGTCACTGGGAAGGCAGCACTCTCTTCAGATGGGCCCCCAACCACTTCTGCCACAATGGGAAGTCATGCTAGGAGAGATTCCCCAATGCTGGGCCCCAGGGTGTTGTGTATGGACACACACTGTACTACATGCTTAACATTATCCTATTAGCAAGGGTGTCCCAGCGAAGATGTCTGATTGCCTGCACAGCTCACTACTCAGGACTCTCACATACGCTCAGACCCCTTCATCCAATGCACACCCTCACCAGAACACCTCCACTCGTACCTATCCACTAGCAACACACCTCTATCCAAGTTCACATGTACATACACACGTGCACATACACGTACACTCTAATAGACCCAGTGCTAATGTATGTGAGCACATATGCACATGTATACACTTACATACACACTGATAAACCCACCTCCAGACACACAGCTCTCTAGACACACACCAATCTAATCTTACATGTATATACACCTCTGGCCATACTGTATCATTTTCTCCTTACATATCCAAACACACACGCACGCGCGCGCACACACACACACACACACACACACACAGTCAACTCCCCCACCCCAACACACATACACATTGTCCTACTGTTTCACATGCAGCTCTTCTCCTGTCTCCCACATTTCCTATGGACATGTATATATTCCTAAGTAGCTACTCAAACAGTCACCTGCCTGTTCTGTATCCCCTCAAAACCTCAGGCACATGAACCCAGGTGTTCACACACACCCACTTGTATTCACAACTGCATCTCTGTGATCTCCCACACCCATCTACAGCTGCTTACACTTCAAAACGTGACCACACATTCAAGAGTGGAAGCATATACACTGTGTGGGGGAACTTCAGGCATCAAGAGGCTTCAAAAATAATATCACAGCTCTAAGGCAGGCAATTTTCTGCCCAGCCACTTAGGTTGCCTCTTCTTGCCCCAGAAGTGTTAGCAATAGACTGAACTGCTACTAGTGATTGGTGAGGTCTCCACTTTGCATCCCCCCCAGAGAAAGAAAGAGTGAGAGAATTCTGTTATTAGTATTCATTATCTCCCTTAATCTCTTGTTATTTTCACCTCCGTCAGGGTTTGGGCAGGGGCTATTTATAGCGGGAAGTTAGCAGACTGAACTTCTGTGGGTGAAGAACTATTGTATGACATTCATGCCTGTTTAGAGACAGGGCGTGGAGGGCACAGAGTGTCTGCACCAGGATAGACCCCAGCATGGCTGTGCCTTGCTCCTAAACCCTGTCCTATTTTGTCTGCAGTATTTCTTCTTCCTTCATCTTGTGGCTTGTAGCCATATCCAGAAGCAGTGCCCACAGCATGCCCTAATAGGGACACTTCTTCTCCAGGGGC